ATATGTAAGTGTAAATAAGTATTTCAAAAATTAGAAAACCAATTTAAAATAAAATTGGTATAAACTTACATCTCGTTTAAAATCTCAAATTTTGAGAAATATCTTCTTGCGCTGGAATTTAACGAAACCGATATATAGTTACAATGTATTAAGGTCATCCTGAATTGTTCCCAGGGGTCAAAAGTGTGGTAAAACCTTATATTATGTGAAAAGATGGTAAATTTTGGGAAACACCTGTTTTGATAAGATTTAAATTTCAACAAAGTATACCAGACTTAAGAAAAAACATATGATACAGTACAAACAATGACAAACAACTTAAGGTCCAGAAAGCCTGACTTGGTATAGACACAAACTAAGGTGGGGTTTAACCAGTTTTATGTTCACACACACACCTCCTCTTTTGCAGATCTGCACCATGAGTCATAATACTAGAACAAACACAATAAAAACATAGAACAAGGAAAAACAATATAATTTTTTGATGATTTATTTTAAGGTAAAATATATTAGAAAGGTGATTCAAAGAGGAATGAAGTGAAAACAGCCATTATTTGCTAATCTATGGCAATGAGACAATATTGCACCCGTGATGAAAGGGCCATTGGCCCCAAGTCATTTTCAACTTATTAGTTGCAATTGATTTCCTATTTATGAATTCTTCTCTGGTTTAATGCACATAACTTCAATAACAATTATTGTTAATGCCAAGAGTATCAGGACAAAATTTGGGTGTAATAGCTACAAAGGTAACTGTTAGCTTAAAACCCAGTCCCCAATCATATATATTAAATAATTGATATTGGTTAATGTGCAGTACCATTAAAACATTTAAACCCGCTGCATTTGTTTGCATCTGTCCTAAGTCAGGAATCTGATGTTTAGTAGTTGTCGTTTTTTGATGTGGTTCATAAGTGTTTCTTGTTTCTCGTTTTTTATATAGATTAGACCGTTGGTTTTCCTGTTTGAATGGTTTTACACTAGTAATTTTTGGGGCCCTTTATAGATTGCTGTTCGGTGTGAGCCAAGGCTCCGTGTTGAAGACCGTACTTTGACCTATAATGGTTTACTTTTATTAATTTTGACTTGGATGGAGAGTTGTCTCATTGGCACTCATACCACATCTTCTTATATCTAAGTAAAAGTAAAAATTGAATGTAACACTTGGTACACATTAAGAATTTTATAGGCAAATCAATGGACTCAATATTGTTGGTCATGGTGAGTAGGGACATCCCAATTTTGCCATAGTGAGTCTAACAGCGGGAAGAAAATAAATAGCAATGCCTTAATTGACTATTTTCTGATAATTTTGGCCATTTATGCAAACTTTAGAAACAGTATGTGACAAACAACCCTATATTAAGAAAATCATGATCTAGCTTCACTTTATTTCTTTTCAACTTACCGGTAATAAGATGGTGAAAGAAAAGACAGAAGGGATCAAGATCATTTTTAATAAGCATATATAAAATCGAAAAATAATAAAAAATAATGCACTGTAATAATATTGCTAATCTATGGCAATGAGACAATATTGCACCAGTGATGAAAGGGCCATTGGCCCCAAGTCATTTTCAACTTATTAGTTGCAATTGATTTCCTATTTATGAATTCTTCTCTGGTTTAATGCACATAACTTCAATAACAATTATTGCTAATGCCAAGAGTATCAGGACAAAATCTGAATTACATGTACTTTATAATTTTCTAGTTGGCAAGAATAGGCTTCATAATTTTATAATTTTTGGGAATAAAAAACCTACAATACACCAGTTAATAGGAGCACAGAGATTTTTTTAATTATTTCAATACATGTACTACTATTTTGACACTTCCCTTCTGTAAAAATATGAATCAAAAATTGTAATCCTCCTAAAAAAACAAACAACACCATTTAACTATTCAAATCACAAAAGAGGAATGGTCAGTGCGTAATTATTGCAAAACATTTTTTGGTATACAGGATAGGGGTAAATAAAAAGTGGGGATGTGGGATAATTTTTTTTTTTGTTTTTTTTTGGGGGGGGGGGTAAAACATGGACTGTGTCATCTAAGGGAGCTACCATTTGATTTTTATGGGGGGGGGGGGGGGGGGGGCTAGGACGAAATTTGAAAAAAAGGCAGGACAGGAGTTTTTAGTAAATAAAAAGGCAGGATGAGCAACTTGGCAAAAAAAAAGGCAGGATGACAATTTAAGTAAAAAAAGTCAGGATAAACTAATTAAAAAAAAAGGCAGGACCGAATAGATTGAAAAATAAAAAGGCAGGACAGAGATTACAACAACAAAAAAATGCAGGACAAAATTTTTCATCCTAGCCCCCCATAAAAATCAAATGGTAGCTCCCTAAGAAATAAAAGGGAGAGAGTTTCAAAATAACAGCGATTTAGGAAACGACCCACCCACTCATTTATATCAAACAACAGCCTAATGTTGCAGTCTTCACGATAAACTTTTGAATCCATTAGCCTGAAGCTCAAGTTTACAAGATGATTGGTTCATGGATTATGATATGCATTATTGAATGAGGAAAACAGTTGACAATCTATTTTTCTTTGGTGTTTATATGCATGTTTCCCCCTGTTATTAAATCATGAATCAATGAGTTTGGTATATTTGTTTCCATCAAGAACAGACTTCAGTCAGGGGAAATTCAGTCTGACGTTTAACGCCATTTTCAACTGGTACCGTATGTGGACGTTCGACAAACCGGGAACCGAAACGTTCAAGTTCAAGGCCATCATTAGCTCATACCGACCATTAATATTTGTATATTACGAAGGCATACTGAATATTTTACGGAGGGAACCAACCTAATTTGGTATACAGTTGTATTAGCATTGGCACATCTCAATTCCATGGAGATTATTTGGCCCTGCCCCCTCAGTCATGGTCTATTGACTTTGAAACTTTTGCTTATTTTACATGTATTAGTTTGTGATTAGGTCAGTTTTTGGGGAACCATTTGTGGTAGGTCAATGATATTTGGTATACAATTGTATTAACATAGGCACATCTCATTTCCATGGAGATTATTTGGCCCTGCCCCCTCAGTCATGGTCTATTGACTTTGAAACTTTTGCTTATTTTACATGTATTAATTTGTGATTAGGTCAGTTTAAGGGGAACCATTCGTAGTAGGTCAATGATATTTGTTATGCAGTTGTATAAGCATTGGCATATCTCATTTCCATGGAGATTATTTGGCTCAGCCCCCTTAGTCATGGTCTATTGACTTTGAAAATTTTGCTTAGTTAACATGTATTAGTTTGTGATTAGGTCAGTTCAAGGGGAACCGTTAGTGGTAGGCCAATGTTAATTGGTATTCAGTTGTATAAGCATTAGCACATCTCATTTCAATGGAGAATATTTGGCCCCATCCCCTCAGTCATGGCCTATTGACTTTGAAACTTTTGCTTAGTTTACATGTATTAGTTTGTGATAAGATCAGTTTTAGATGAACTGCTAATGTTAAGTCAATGATATTTGGTATGCAAATTTATTGGCATTTGTAAGTATCGTTTCCATGGAGATTATATAGCTCCACCCCTCTTCATGGTTCATTGACTTTGAAACTTTTACATAGTTTACAAGTTAATGTTTGTGTTTAGGTTTGTTTAAAGGGAACAACTTATAATAAGTCAATGATATTTGGTATGCAGTTGTATTAGCATTGGCGCATCTCATTTACATGGAGATGGTTTAGCCATGTACCTCAGTCATGGTTCATTGACTTTGAATATTAGCCTAACTTGTTAAGTATTGCCATTTTAATTTTAACATTTGCATAATCAAAATTACAAAAAAGCGAGACATAATTCTGTGATAACAGTTTATTACATTGATTATTTCTGATTTATATATAAAAGCAACAAATACTGATATGACAGGAGTTACAGACCAAACAGGGTGTGTAAATTATTATATATAACAGATTAACTAAGTATTGTGCAACAGCACAGTATTGCACAATAGCACAGTATTGCACAATAACAAGAAATCTTCAATTGAAAATAAATACAAATCTTTTAACCAATTTCAGTGGGATTCATTTAAAGTCTTTTATTTTTGGGGGTTCTAACCTTGTATTACTATTTTGGATATTGGGCCCCATTTTTAAATTGGTCTACATTGAGGTCCAAAGGGTCCAAAATTAAAGTTTGTTTGATTTCATCAAAAACTGAATTATTGCGGCTGTATGATTTGCTGAATCTTATTGTGCATTTAGATTTTTTATTTTGGGCCCTGTTTTCAAGTCAGTCCATATTAAAGTTTGAAGGGTCCAAAATTAAACTTTGTTTGATTTCAACTAAAATTAAATTTTTGGTGTTTTTTTATATGCTGAATCTAACCATGTTGTTAGATTTTGGATATCAGACCATACTAGGTAAATTAAATGTCCCATTTCAAATTTTTAAGATCTTTGACGACATTTATTTTGTGTCAGAAACCTATATTATGTCAAAAATTTGATCACAATCCAAATTCAGACAGTATCAATCTTGAATACTGTGTCCAAACTTGCCCCAACTGTTCAAGATCCGACCTCTGAGGTCGTATCAGGCTGCGCTCGGCGAAGCATTTTATTCAGATATGAAGGGGAAAAGGGTACATGTCTAGTGTAATCAAATCCTTATCAACTTGTAGCCTTCACTTTTCCAGATTGATTGTGTATACTGTAAACATTGAAGATGTGGACCTCATTTTGTACACAGATATGGAGAAGCTTCAAGATGTTGAAACTTTGAAACTAAGTTAATTTTCAGCAACATTTCAATGGATGAAGCAGATAGTGAGACAGTAAATTTTCACTAAAGTTGCAGATTGAGGGTAGTCATATTGTGTACTGTGGATTCATTGATATTCATTGAATACTAATATTCGTGGATTTCATGGGTAGGAAGTAACCATGTTGTAAAAAAATAGTTACTGATTATTCATAAAACATTTTCATAGGATTAACTCAGACTGCCATTAAACATCTATTGTATATTTTCAGGAAACAGGAGAAATTAAGAAATATAATAACTTCACACCATATACAAGAAAGGTAAAGAATTTAGTGCTAATTTCCCATCTAAATGGATAAAGAACACTTTAAAAAGAATACGAAACTTCAGATATACTTATGATTTTGGCCAATTGCTAATGAATAAAAATCATCACTTTTGACACAGGCATAAAGTGGGTGCCATTAATTGTCTTCAATGATGAATACCGGTATCAGATGAACTTTATTAATTTCTTATCTTTATCTTGCTTGGTTTTAATTATGACTAGAAGATGCCTGTGAAATCGCAGTACAATTGGGCAAGTGTTGAAACAAAGAGTGTCAAGGGTGCCTGTGTTTACACATAAAAAGGGGGGAGGGGTCCGGACGTCGGGTGCCTGTGTTTACACATAAAAAGGGGGGAGGATCACTTCAACACGTTCAACGCACATTTCATTTTTGGACAGTTCTGCACCTGAGTAAAAAGGATTGAAGTCGTTTAATTTAGCAAAATGATGCACTTACAATACAATACAGGATCCTTATAGGCCTAACTGTCCTATTTTCTATCCTTTCCTCTTACTTTCACTTGGATTTCGCGGGCAGTACGTCGACTAAGCATGCACAAAAGCGTATAAGACACGGATCGATAATGGTTTCCGAATTTGGATCGTTTCTCAAAAATTGGCGTTTTCTGTGGAAAAAAGATTGTTACAAAGACAAATTTAGGAAGTACAAAACACTACATTTATACGTCATATCACAAATATTTCCGACTTTGTATGGTTTTATAAGAGCTTTATAAAAGTAAATTAAAACATATTTTTGGAAAGGTAGAACTACTGTGTTCCAGTTTACATCTGTTAAAAAATTCATAAAATTAAATATGTCATTTAGTCATACATGTACAATAACTTGCCAAATATGTGTTTAAAGTCATATGAAAAGAGTTTCTTTTAATTATAATGTGAATGAATTTATTGAACCAATGAATGCATATATACTAAATTAAATTTTTGTGGTCGTATATTGGTATCACGTTGTCGTCGTCGTCGTCCGAAGACAGTTGGTTTCCGGACAATAACTTTAGTATAAGTAAATAGATATCTATGAAATTTAAACACAAGGTTTATAATCACAAAAGGAAGATTGGGATTGATTTTGGGGATTATGGTTCCAACAGTTTAGGAATTAGGGGCAAAAAAAGGGGCCCAAATAAGCATTTTTGTAGTTTTTAGACAATAACTTGTGTTTTTAATATATGAAACTCTCTGAAATTATACCACAAGTTTCCATACCACAAAGGGATGGTTAGGATTGACTTTGGGGGGTTATGGCTCAAACCATTTAGGAATTAGGGGCAAAAAAGGGGAAAAACAAGGGTTTCCTTGTTAATGGACAATTTTAAAGCAGTGTAAGGGAAGTAATCCAATCACATTTAATATACAATGTTGTGTATGTTTTGGATTACCTCCCTTACACTGCTTGTAAACTATGTATAAGAAATGCTGTATTGTCTTGAGGTGATTAGCTGTCAATTTATTTTTAAATGTTACAGTAATAAATATTAATTTTAGCCTTGAATATGTATGTCATTTTCTATTTCAAGACTTTTATGATGTATTTTAATGGGTAATTATGGTTGCAAACTGCATTAGAAATTTGAATTGAGATTATGGGGGGGGGGGAGGTCAATACGCAACAGCATAGTGTATTGCACAAAAGCATAAATTGAATATAAATTCAAATCATATTACCAATTCTAAGTTCTTTGACTACAGTTATTCTGTGTCAGAAACCTATTTTGTGTCAGTTATTTATTTACAATCCAAATTCAGACCTGTATCAAGCGTGAATATTGTGTCCATTTTTGCCCCAATTGTTCAGGGTTGGACCTCTGCGGTCGTATCCAGCTGCGCTCAGCGAAGCAATTTATTTTACATTTATTTGAAATCCATGACGTAAAATCCAAAAAAACATATTTCATTCAGTGATTGTTGATTGAAAACTTTAGCTGCAAATTAACTTTGTCATAATAGTTGTTACATGATTTAGTGACTAAAAATGTTTCTTTCAGGATCATTTAATTCTATTTTTCTATCTTCCATGTTTGTTTACCTTTTCTTGCATCACAGTTTTTCCCTCGCACTTGCGCTGTGTGGTTGTCAATTTCTAACAAGTGGGATCATGGTTAAGGTCACTGCATATGAAAAAACTGTCAGCAAATAAGAGTACAGGAAGACTATAATTCAATATCAATATAAAAAGAAGATGTGGTATGATTTCCAATGAGACAACTCTCCACAAGAGACCAGTACATTTCTGAAGATTTGGAGAAGATAAAGGATATTCTTTTAAATGAAAGTCCATGTACATTTGTTTTACAGTAAAGCTTATCTATTCAAGTATATAAAACGTATTAAACATTTTTTATGCTTTGTATGGTTCCATGCTGATGTGACTGTTTACTTTGCATTTGGAAATCTTGAAGTAAAAAAATGGCAAAATAATGCATTTGCATTTCTTTCTGAGTAGATATATTTTATGTAAAGAACCTGCTGTACTATCACTGTCTATGATGAAAAGTATTTATGTCAATTAAATGGTTTTATCATTTTAGTTTTTGAAGGAAATATCAGAATTACACCTTCCCATACCAATGAATGGAGACAGCAAATGGCAGCTAGAAAAGTCACATGTCAGAATAGCTCTCAGACTTTTGGTAAATATCAAAAGCACCAACCATTCATTTTTTGATGGGCATGGTGTTTCTTTAAAATGAATTGTTTCTTGAAAGAAATAATGTGTTTTAGAAGGGAAGTGAAAAGATTACAGATAGTTTGTTTTGGAAGGGAAATTAAAAAATATAGTTTGTTTCCATTGAAAAAAAAAAGTGATTGTTAAAAGTTGAATACACTTATTTGTCTCAAGACAAAAAAACCCAACATTTTAACAAATTTATTAAAGCAAACAAATCATGATCACGTGGAAAAGTTGTGTGTTTACATCTGTTGGCAGCAATGTGCATTTTGGCGGGAAAATATGAGAAAATCTCTATATCAAGGACAACAGTGTATCTGGTATTTATAGCCAGTAATGAATTTCAGTCTGATTAAGAGCTGAAATCAGAGTGCCATTTAAATTTGTTTAAAAAATAAATATTATCTGGGGAACAGATTGAAACTGGAAATACTTAGTATATACTTACTTTACATCCATTTATGATTTTTTTTGGAAGGGGGGAGGGTTGCATTTTATAATATATAAAAATTGTCATTTTATATTGATATGAATTTACTAGTCAGAACAGAATTGTTTGAAATGGCTATAAAATTCTGTAAAACTCTGAAGCCTGAGCCTTATCTGGCCTTAACTTCTCCCTGCTTAATAGGTTCATAAAAGTGTAGTAACCACTAATAAGAGCAATTATGCAAGTTCCCCTTCAAATTTGATATATATGGCAACAACTTTAAAAGAAGGGCACAAAATTAGCAACAAATCAGGGACAATTTGTGTACATGGAGCGATGCAATCCAACGCTACACATCACATGTAATTTGTTGACCTTTCTCCACCACCCATGATTTTCATTCTGTGGTGTACCCTGATAGAACTTAATATGATGATATATTGTTAACATACATTCCTGTTACCAAAAACGAAATGACAAAAGTAAAACAATATGCAAGGGAATAACTTGATTTTGGGTTTATTAGAAAGGGAAAAAAATACTGAACATTATATTGGGATGTTATAAAAATGAGATGATGTGGTATGATTGCCAATGAGATAACTCTCCACAAGAGACCAAATGCCATAGAACAACTATAGGTCACCGTACGGCCTTCAACAATGAGACATTAGTTTTGAATTGTTATTTTTCATGTCAAGGCCTTTTATAGCCAACTATATGGTATGGGTTTTTGTCGAGCCTTCGACTTTAGTCGAAAAAGCGAGACATAGCGATCCTACATTCCGTCGGCGTCGTCGTCGTCGGCGGCGTCCACAAATATTCACTCTGTGGTTAAAGTTTTTGAAATTTTAATAACTTTCTTAAACTATCCTGGATTTCTACCAAACTTGGACAGAAGCTTGTTTAAGATCATAAGATGGTATCCAGAAGTAAATATTGTAAAAATAAAATTCCATTTTTTCCGTATTTTACTTATAAATGGACTTAGTTTTTCTGCTGGGAAATATTACATTCACTCTGTGGTTAAAGTTTTTCAAATTTTAATAACTTTCTTAAACTATCCTGGGTTTGTACCAAACTTGGACAGAAGCTTGTTTATGATCATAAGATATTATTCAGAAGTAAATTTTGTAAAAAAATAAATCCATTTTTTCCTTATTTTACTTTTAAATGGACTTAGATTTTCTGCCAGGAAACAACACATTCACTCTGTGGTTAAAGTTTTTAAAATTTTAATAACTTTCTTATACTATTTTGGATTTGTACCAAACTTGGACAGAAGCTTGCTTATGATCAAAAGCTAGTATCTAGAAGAAAATTTTGTAAAAAAATAAATCAATTTTTTCCGTATTTTACTTTTAAATGGACTTCGATTTTCTGCCAGGAAACAACACATTCACTCTGTGGTTAAAGTTTTTAAAATTTTAATAACTTTCTTATACTAATTTGGATTTGTATCAAACTTGGACAGAAGCTTGTTTATGATCAAATGCTAGTATCTAGAAGGAAATTTTGTTTTCTTCCAGATAAAATTACATTCAGTCTGAAGTTAAAGTTTTTAAACATTTATTAGATTCATAAACTATACTTGATTTTTACCAAACTTGGACTGAAGCTTCTTACAATCAAAAGATAGTATCAAGTGGAATATTTTTATTGATTTACTTCCTCATTTTTGTAGAGCCTGCGATTAACAGAAAAAGTAGGCGAGACACTGGGTTCCGCGGAACCCTTACGAATTTTTGGAATAAGATTGCTGTCAAGCAATCTGTTTTCTTTTACTTTTGACCACTTTCTAAGACTCTCACGTCAACTGTTTCGTGCTTTGTAAATAGCAACAACTCAGATTCTTTAGATTGTTTTGATTAAAAGAGTCAAACAAACAAACATGTTAAATTAAAACAACTTTCCTTTAATTTTCTTCTCAAAATCCTCATGTTTTGATATATCTCTTTTTTATAATAGTTAATTTTACAATATGGAAAATCAGTTTTACTATTAAGCAATATCTATATTTAGCATTACGTCAATATAGGAATTCCACTGTGTTCATTGTTAAATTGTGAGAGTTGTTCTGGAATAAATCAGATCGATAAGTACTGAAGTGACGTTTTTCCAATTAGGTTACCTTAATGAAACTTTGATATTGAACTTCCATAAGGAAATGGAGAACCAGCATTGACAGGTTGTCCTCATTTAAAACATAATCCAAACAGTTTGTTAACGTCTTTGAGCGCATGCGTAGTTTTTGTCGAGCCTGCGACTTTTGCCGCAGAAAGCTCGACATAGGGATAGTGATCCGGCGGCGGCGTTAGCTAACTTCTTAAAAGCTTTATATTTAAGAAGGTAGAATACCTGGATCCTTCATACTTTGTATATAGATGCCTCATGTTACGAAGTTTCCGTCAGTCACATGTCCAATGTCCTTGACCTCATTTTCATGGTTCAGTGACTACTTGAAAAAAAAGTTAAGATTTTTTGTAATGTTAAATTCTCTCTTATTATAAGTAATAGGATAACTATATTTGGTATGTGCGTACCTTGCAAGGTCCTCATGCCCGTCAGACAGTTTTCACTTGACCTCGACCTCATTTCATGGATCAGTGAACAAGGTTAAGTTTTGGTGGTCAAGTCCATATCTCAGATACTATAAGCAATAGGTCTAGTATATTCGGTGTATGGAAGGACTATAAGGAGTACATGTCCAACTGGCAGGTGTCATCTGACCTTGACCTCATTTTCATGGTTCAGTGGTTTAAGTTAAGTTTTAATGTTTTGGTCTGTTTTTCTTATACTGTATGCAATAGGTCTACTATATTTGTTGTATGGAATGATTGTAAGGTGTACATGTCTAGCTGGCAGGTGTCATCTGACCTTGACCTCATTTTCATGGTTCAGTGGTCAAAGTTAAGTTTTTGAGTTTTGGTCTTTTTTTCTAATACTATATGCAATAGTTCAACTATATTTGGTGTATGGAAATATTTTATGATGTACATGTCAGTCTCGCAGGTTTTATTTGACCTTGACCTCATTTTCACAGTTCATTGCTCAGTGTTAAGTTTATGTGTTTCGGTCTGTTTTTATTAAACTATAAGCAATAGGTCAGCTATATTTGTTGTATGGAAGGATTGTAAGCTGTTCATGTCTGCCTGGCATGGTTCATCTGACCTTGACCTCATTTTCACGATTCATTGGTCAATGTTTAGTTTTCTTGGTTAAGTCTGTTTCTTAGAAACTATAAGCAATAGGTCAACTATATTTAGTGTATTGAATGATTGTAAGGTGTACATGTATTTCTCGTTTGGTTTATATGACCTTGACTTCATTTTCTTGGATCATGTTAAGTTTATGTAATAGTTGTAGTAAAATTTTCATTTAGGACTATCAACATAATATCAATGGTTAGTAAAGAAGGTGAGACATTTCAGCATGTGCTCTCTTGTTATGTTCAAAAACTATAATTACATGTAGATTGAATTAGATAGCAAATTCATTTGTAGATGTATTATATTTGAGAAAGAAAATAAGATAGCGAATACATGTGTAGTTGTGTCATATATGAGAAAGAATACTAATAACAAGGAATTATTTGAATCTGGATTAATTTTGAATTCCGGAAAATTAATAAAAAATGTTTGATGAAAACTTAAACCCAACTAAGGAGGGTTACCCAAGGTTCAGGGATACTTTCAATGATATTTCAGTATGAACTAACTAACCCCCCTTAGCCATGTTTGGCTTACCCTCCTTAACTGGCTTAGTTTTCATCATACAATTTGTATCAACTTATAATCAAAATTATTCCAGTTCAAATAATTCCTTGTTTAATGAAATATTAATGGAAACAATGGCGATCTAATTCCTCAGAGCGATCAAGCTCTTTGATTCTGATTGTTGAAGGCTGTATGGTTGCCTGTTGCTTACATCCACTTCATTCGAACTTTGGTGGATAGTTGTTGCATTGGCAATCATTCCACATCTCCTTATTTTTATGCCCCACCAAGGGGCATTATGTTTTTTGGTCCGTGGGTCCTTTCGTTTGTCCGTCCGTCATACAGTTCGTCCGTTCGTCCATCCGTGCGTCCGTCCGTTCATCTGTCTGTCCCACTTCAGGTTAAAGTTTTTGGTCAAGGTAGTTTTTGATGAAGTTGAAGTCCAATCAACTTGAAACTTAGTACACATGTTCCCTATGATATGATCTTTCTAATTGTAGTGCCAAATTAGAGTTTTGACCCCAATTTCACGGTCCACTGAACATAGAAAATGATAGTGCGAGTGGGGCATCCGTGTACTATGGACACATTCTTGTTATATTATGAATTGCTATCTCAGACTTGCATTGCTGGAAGATATTTTATAACCTTTGAAAACCAATTTTTAAATGTATTTTGTAGTACAGCATGAAAAATTAACAAACAATCTATCAATACAAAGAAAGAAAATATATAGAAGTTTTGTTCTTAAAAACCACCTTATTGGCCATTTAAAACAAGCTTAAAATTTTATTAGGACTTTTTCTAAATAGCTGA